TTCCCCCTCTTCCCCAGGCACAAGGAAGAAAGAGAGAGTAGAGAGAATTTTGACAGTTTGGATTTCAGAAAGCAGAGGATTGAATTTTAAACCTGAATGGGATGAAGAAATAGATGTCTGGCCAGAGCAGCATGCAGGGTGGAGAGCCCAGAACACTTAGCGCTGCTTGAAAATAAATGCCTTTCATTCTTGCAAACATCTATGCTGAGACTATTCAATCAAATTAATTAATATGCTTGTGCATATATGTAAAACCAGATGTAGCATTTTAAAAAGCTTTCATGTTGTGTTTGCTTTTACATGCTTGCGAAATAATTCCCTTGGGCGAATTTTACTGCCTGGATTGTTTGATGGAGGCTTTAGAAAATATATTTTCATTAAAGCTTGAGCATAAGATGCCTACCTCTCTTCCTGGCAAATCTCTCTATAACAAGGATAGGCATTTGTCATTACTCCAAAATCCTTCGAATTGTAGTTGAAATTAGGGTCCTCTGTCTCAAAAATGTTCATTGCTTAGTTGGTGAGTAGGCATAAAAGCATCCAAATGTTTTGAATGTTTCCATGGTGACTTCTTCAATGATCCTCAGCACTTCCATTTCAATAAATGAGATGAGTTTGAATAACTTTGACTGACTTGTCAGCACTGGATAATTGGTTTGGCTTAATGAGGGACAGTATTGGTCACTCAACTATTACAAAGTCACAAATAGGAGTTTTAGATATTACCATGTGGCTATTACTCTTTTTTTTTTAGTACAGTACAAGAATAACCCACATAAATATGTAAAACTACTTAATAATAACATATGAGTTGGTTTTGTATTGTTAATTTAAAAAGAATTACCACAAACTTAGTAGCTTAAAACTCTTATTGCATAATAGTTCTGGAGGTTAGAAGTCCTAACATGAAGGTGTCAATAGGGTAGAATTCCTTTTGAGAATCTATTTCCTTGTCTTTTTGAGCTTCTAGAGTCTATCCACATTCTTTGTCTTGCGGCCCATCCTTGTGTCACTCCAACCTCTGCTATGTTTGCCACATTCCCCCCTCATTGTGACCTTCCTGCCTCCCTCTTAGAAGGACCCTTGTAATTATGTTGGGTGTTTTGTGTAATCCAGCATGCCCCCCACATCTCAAAATCCTTAACTTCATTATACCTAAAGTCCTTTTGCTGTGATAGGTAACATAGTCTAATTAGGATGTGGACATCTGTGTGTGTGTGTGTGTGGGGGGGTGGCGAGTTCCACTACCATACCATATTAACTAAAATAAGCAAGAACTAGTATGTTCTCCTGCATCCATGAAGTGTTAAACCCTAACAGTTCATTTCTGATCGTGACATCCTATCTGTCTACTGCCCTCATTTCCTTGATACACCTATTTTCCAACCTTGTTGAGGCTGCCAGTTTCTGGGCTATGTTGTTATGACCCAGGGTTGATCCTCTGACTTTGTTTCCTCCTCAGTTCCAACTAGACCCCATGATTCATCTTTCCAAACATCTTTGGTACTCACTGTCTTGTCCTTTTGTGGTACCTACTCTTTTAAACCAAAACTTCAATTTCTTTACTTTGCCTGGTCTATGGAAGTCTCTTGGAGGAAATCTCTAAAAGGTCCTTGTTATCACCAAGGTAAATTCATGATCTTCAGCCTCTCTGGGCCATTAGTGCTACTAAGAAAAGCTTCTATGTGTTCATAGTCTATGCTGCCCTCAGAGTATACTGCAAGCTCCAACCTATCATGTGTTCTCTCGCTCTCGCCAGACAATTCTTTAAGGGAAAAATATCAGCCATGAAAAAGAAGTCCATGAACTTTGTCCTTTATCCTGCAAACTCACTTCCAAGGACACTTGTCCCTCACTCCTTCTTTCCTGGGACTGTGGGAGGTGGTCCCTCTTAAGGCTAAGCCAGAATAGTCACCAACCAAGAATATTTACATTTGATTCATATTACCCTCATAGCTTTTGTTCTATAGGTATAAATCCTGTTTTTGAAGTAGTATTCTGGAATTGCTATCTCTACTTCTTTACCATCCACTAATGTCCATAACTCCTCAATTCTCTCACTTCTAGATTCTGTCCCTACAATTTCACTGAAATAGCCCTTGACATACATACAGAAAAAAATCCAAAGTCCGGTTTATCATCAAACTCCATCCCAGCCTAGTTCTCCTCCAGGTTTTTTATTAAAGGGAATGGTGCTTAAACACATCTGAGATGGTTTTCTCTCAATTACACCACACTATACATTAGACCTGCAGATTCAAGTTCTTACAGGCTCAGATATTCATTTATATTTTCTTACATTTTCTTTATACCTTTTTGAAACATTTCACTATTTTATCTATCTGAAAGTGTATGTATGGTGTGTGTGTGTGGTTTAAGGGAGCAATCTAGCTTTATCTTCTTTAGCAAATAGTTATTCATTTGTTGCAGCACCACTCATTCAATCATTAATTATGCCCTTACTGATCTGAAATGCCATCTTTATTATTTACTAAATTTATGTATGTACTAGGGTCTGTTTCTGGGTTTGTTTTCTATTTTATTGATTTTTCTCTGTATTCTTGAGCCATATAACACTATTTTAATTATTGCATTTTTATAATGTTTTAAAAGCACAGGCATGCTTTAATTACTTGCCCTCTTTGAGATTTTTAAGTTGTTTTTAGTTGTCCTCTTCACGGTTTTTAGTTGTTTGTTGTTTTTCTTGTGTTAAATTAAAAAAAATTGCTCTGGAATGTATTTATACAGCACTTATAAATTATTTGGAGGAAGAAATGACATCTTTAAGAATAAAATCTTTTCTAGAAGTTAGTATATCTTTTTATTTATCTTTAAAAAAAGTAACTCGGGAGAAAAATATACATTATTTGGTCATGAAAAATTATTTTATTATAGTATTAGATTTATGTTGCTAGTATCTTATCTATGATAAATGAAATTTAGTATATTAAGCCTGAAAATAACTTGAGAAGTTTTTCATTGTTCTGCATCTTTGGTACAATTTCATGTTAAGTGTTCATCTATTAATTTGCATTAGTTACTTGTTAATTTCCTTGTTCCAGAAGTTGAGCTAGAAGCACCTTCCCCCCTGAGATTGTGGATGGTGGACTGGTCTTTACACATGTGCACAGAGAAGAGGGCAAAGCATGTACATCGTTCTGAGAACTGATTGGGGAAAGTGGACGGTTCTTAGCCAAAGGGAGAAATTGCTGGTAATGTTTTTCTCACCACCTGGTGATTATAGAAAAATAGGTGGAATCATCCTGATGCATTCTACTCCAGGGTAAGCCAAGTTTCTGTGATGGGTCAGTGGGTGCAATGACACCGCCTGGGTGGATAGGTGAGTCTTAGTGCATCCCACATACCTGGAGAGGCAGCCCTGGGTGTCCTGCAGGAAGTGTGGCTAGGCTTCCAGGCTGCGATTCCCAAAGCAAAAATGACTCACCACGAGAAAACCAAACCAAACCCCAAACCTCATCACATAATTGTATTTTGAGCAGAAGTAAGTTATAAATCCCATCTGCTATGCTGTAAACTGAATTAGCTTTATATCTAAAGCCCACAGGCATTTTAAGGTGGCCAAAGTTAGAGAGTGTTAATTGCTGGAGGGGAGGGGTAGTCATAGGGTTCCAGAGGGATCGTCCCGGGGACTCCTTAAAAATATTTTGCTCCTTAAGGTTTCCCCTTCTGAGACTCATCTGGAAGAACAGTTTCCTTTTAAATGGTGGTTTTGTAAGTTTTTTTTTTTAAACCACATTTAGTTTTTTCCCCATTAATGACAGCAATTCTATAGTTACATAACACTTTTTTTAAACATAAAGCTTTTTCTCTCCAAGTTAAAATATAACTTATTGAATGCTAGATCTAATATTCCAAAACACCTCAGAACAATAATGATAGCAATGTCATGGACATCTTATTTATGACCTTAAGAGGAAATGCCTTTGGTTTTTGAGATGACTATTCCTTCTCATGATATGGGATATTTTTATATCACTAATGGTAATATCAGAAATAAGTGTTAACATTTTTCAAATGCCTTAGAGCAATTCTGGAGAGAAAAATGATTTTTTCTTTTGTGCATTACTGAGACAATGTTTTAAATAAAAATCCTAGTATTAAGCCATCCTTGAATTTTTAGAATAAATCTTATTTAGTTTTGAAAACTTATTTGTGTAGTGTTGGATTTATGTTGCTAGTATTTTAGTTAAAGCAAGTGAAAAATTTTTTCTTTGCTATGTTGACTTTGTTTTGCGGGTTATATTAGTTTTGAAAAATAATTCGGGAAGTGTTTCATCATTCAGTAATTTTGGAATGATTTAAATAACATGAGAACTGTTACTTGCAAGTTTTCAAGAACTTGCTCATAAAACACTGGACCCAACTTCTCTTTTGGAGATAGTTAACTGGACATTAATAAAATATCTTCCATGAATATCAGTTCATTATGGCTTTCTAATTCTTACTTCATTTTTCCTTGAAAATTGCACATTTCACTGGTTTCTAAGCATTCGTTGCCATAGAGCTATACATTTTTACAGTTAAAATTTTGATTCACATCTGTGCTTTTATGTTTCTCTTTCTCTTTTTATTTTCAGTTAACACATCAGTATTTTGCATATTTTAATGTTATTTGTGTAGATGAGATACTGTATCTAATTAACGCCACTGTTATTTTTCTGTTACCTTACATCATTTCTGCTCTTATTTTTATTAGTTCCTTCCTCATATTTCACTAAGATTTACTTTTCATGTGTTTTCTACTACATATTTTGCATTGATATTATTTAAAAATAATTATGGTCAAACATTTCGTAAATTAGCTTTTTTTCAAAAAAAAATCATTCTTTTTGGATTTATCAAAAAGGTACACATTTTTAAAATCAGCTAATTATAAGAACCAGGTTCAATAAACCCACTTTCAATAGGTAATAGAAACAAAGTAAGAAAGGAGATACCTGTGTTATTAGGATTTGGGATGTACCATGCAGACAGCAGACTAGGGGTTGCTTGTCTTTATTAAAGTTATAGTTTGCATTTAGGAAAAAGTTTCACAAGATTAACTCATGAGATCCAAAAACATTCAGGGTTTTGACTAACTTGATGGACTTATTACTAACATTGTCTGTTTGAGGCAACTGTGACATTATTCCATCATATCTCCTGCAGCCTTCCACTGTGGCCCAGGGTCACTGTCCCAGCCACCTGTAGGGCAAATACCGGGGTGCCTTGCTCCATATCTGCCCCTTTGATTTTCACCAATGTATCAATAAGAACACAATAGAATTTTATTCTTAATGGTATTACAATTGCACAAATTAAAATCCAATGACCAATTTTAGTTTGAAAAACTAGAAGAGGAAAAAAGAAGAGATGTTATTATCAACCATGAATTTGGAAAGAGTTCTTTCAAACACAATGAGGGCGAGTTATTTTAGAAACCACTGGATTCTATTCTTATATATATTTCTCTCTAAAAGGTGTCCTCTGCGGCTGGGAGGTGGAGGCGCACTTGGCCGCTTTCTTTGAAGCTTCCTCTCCTGCACTGCCAACGCCTGGGGGGAGCGAGTCTTCAATGGCGGCTCCATCCAGCTCTTCCACGTAGACTTAAATCTCATTCCAATTTAGGCTTCTCTTTCTCTTCTTCCATACCTAAAATACAGGCAAAGGACTTTATTTGAACATCAGATAAAATTATGAGCAGCTTTGCCAAGCAGCTTAAAAAACCTCTCTTCCCTCTACCCTTATCCACCCTCCTGTACACCCCTGTCTCCAGCTAAGAAGGAAAATCATTTACAGGTTTCTCCAGACACTTCCTCAGTGACCTCTCTCCCCACCCTTTCGCCCCAAATCGGGACATAACATCTCTGGGACACACCCAGTTCTTCCAGCTTCTGAGAGTGAGGGACTCAAGTTAGTTCTTGACTCATTCAGTTTGCACAGAAACCCCAACCAGACTGCTTTGGAACCAGCTTCTAGCGATAGGAGGTGTGCAGCTGATGTGCCTCAAACCTCATTTGTTTTTATTTTAGTCCTGTCCCTTCCCAAGCCAAGGGCTCTGGATTTTCACAAGTCAAGAAATCTTTTTCTCAAAGCTCATAGAGAGTTCCTAGCCCCAAGAACTGTTTATTTCCATCCCCGAGTGTACTCAAAGTCAAGTTCTCCTTCACCTCAGCCCAGTCCCGGCGGAACTATTTTTCTTTCTGAGAGACTCATCTTCACCAGGCCTGTGAGACCTCAGTCTGTTGTCTGCAGTGAATAGTTAGTTAATCATGTTTCATTTTCCTGGAGATGAAAATGTTCAAGTCATTCGCATGAATTCAAGTTACACCTGGCAAATGCTCCCCACTTCTTTTTTCTTGTGCTTCTAGCTGAAGACTTTTCTTCTGACGTCAATTCTCAGAGGCCTTTTTGGTGGAACAGAAGAAACCCCCCCCCACACACAAATATTGCTTTGAAGGTTTTAGTTGGTATTCTTTTTATAAGTTGCAAGCTGTCTGAGGACCGGGCCTTCTTTTGTTCTGGATTGTATCCCTAGCTCCTAACACAGTGTCTGTCTCATAGTAGGAGCTCAGCTTTGACTGAATCAATTTAATAAACAATGAACATAGAGGAAGCCTGAGCAGGCTGGACGAGTGGGAAAGCAGTAGACCAAAATGTGGAAATTTGCAACATAAAAAATCGTACAGCCTAACCTCAGAGGGTCATCATGACAGGGCTTCCATGAGGAGGGGCATCCCCTCCCCCCAGCTCCTAGTCTGTGTTTTGTGGGGTCAGGGTGGTGGCAGTGGAATGTGGGTAACATGCTCTGAACAGGTGTCCTCAGACATTCTTTTCGGTTTGGTTTTCATGACTAAGGAACTGGCAGGGATATGGAACACTTTTTCCAAAGTACTTCTCAGAAATCATATTAAGGAAAACTTCAAGTTGAGGAGGCAGGACATGTGAAGCGAGGAGGGGCAGGACTGAGGGGGAGAAGGCAGGCGAAGCCTCAGTTGTTGGGTAACCAAGGCAAAGGCAGAAAAACACAACACGGGTTCCGCTCAGACAGCACACGTGACTTGGGTCCCAACTTCATCCCGTGTTCATCCCTGTGGAGAAGCTTTCGGGAGCTAACTGCTTGCTTTTCTTTTTAAAGTCTGTTTCCTCCCAAGCGTTCTCCTGCAGATGGGTTGACTTGGCAGCAGGAGTGGAATCTTCAAAAGCCGGGGTGGAGAACAGGGGGCGTTCACTGACCCAGACAGGGAAAATGGCTCCCCACCTACTTTCGTTTGGCAGCTTGGAGGGAGAGGGAAAAAATTAGACAGCTGTAAATAATATTTGGAAGAACGAGAGGTGTAATTTCCACACGAAGAGCAGAAAGAAACCTGTCACAAAGCTGAGGCAGGAAGCACTTTCAGAAACACAGAGCAGAAACAAGAACTGACTGACCCCTCCGAGAGAGGCCGTCACCTGTGAATTCCCCCTGGCCAGGAAGAGGCTCACCCAGAGGGCAGTGCCGGGTCACTGCAGGCCTGGGTGGGCCTGCGTGTGACACGAGCTGGATGGGCAGCTCGTGGGGAGAAGGTGGGGGCTTCTAGCACATAGGCCTGGTTCCGACTCCTTTCTCCATCTCCCTGCTTTCTTTGCCCTCACCTCAACCTTTTACTTTTGGACGCTTTCATTTCTGGTTGTATGAAGTTTGACTTTAATAAGACTGGTCACCCCAGTCCACACACTGCAATTGGAATGAATTCTTAGCTAAAGTACAGAAATAGTTCAACTGTTATAGGTTGAATTGTGCCCTCCCACACTAAATCATATGTTGAAATCCTAACCCCAGGACCTCTGAAAGCAAAGAAGTCCAAGGAGGTGGCTGGACAACTGTTTGCTAAAGAGATTAGGCATGTGACTTGTGGATCCAGTGAACCATCTCAGCAGATGCCAGGAAAGGCTTGTGGGGGACCCTCTGATGATTTGGACCCCCATGGATTACAGGGGAAGCCAATAAGGGTATTGAGAATTTTGCTCAGAACACTGTCCCGATAACCTGAAAGGGACAGGATGAAATGAAGGAAGAGTGACTGCAAAGGCACTTTAGAGATTGGCTCCTTCTAGGTTCTAGAGGGTGGGGGGCTGCTGCCCAGGGCCAAGGCCAAGGGGGCCTCAGCCCCCTCCTGGGGAGTCCTGAGGACAGAACATTCAGCCAAAGAAGATTATTCTCAAGCCTTAAAATCTACTGGAATTCGCCCTGCTAGCTTTCAGACTTGGTTGGGAATCGTGACCCCTTTTTACCCTCTGATTTCTTTCTTTTGGAAAGGGAATGTATATGAGACTGTCCAACCATTGTGTTTTGGAAGCAGACAGCTGTCTGTCTGGTTCTGCAGATCCACAACTGGAGAGCAAGTTGGCTTCAGGATGAATCACACTCCCAGCTTTACCCATGTGTGATTTAGATGATATTTAAGGTGAGATTTTGGATTTAAGAGGAAAGAGTTTGGGGGCTGTTGGAATATATGATGCATGAATGAAGGACATGAATTTTGGGGGGGGCAGAAGGCAGAATATTATGGGCTAAATTGTGTCTCCGTAAACCTAACTCCCAATACCTCAGAATGTGACTGTATTTGGAGACTGGCTCTTTACCAAGTCAAAGTGAAGTCATCAGGGAGGGCCCTAATTGAATATGACTGATGTCCTCATATCAATGAGAAATTTGGAGACAGCCTCACATGGAAGTGAGGATGTTCTGTGAACAGGAAGATGGCCATCCACAAGCTATGGAGCGAGGCCTGGCACAGAACCTCCCTCACAGCCCTCAGAAGGAACCAACCTTGAATTTGGACTTCCAGCCTCTAGACCTGTGCCATATTACATTTGTATTGTTAAAGCCACCCAGTTGGTGGCACTTCGTTGTAGCAGCCCTAGCAAACCAGTACAGCATCCACAAAGCCACCCGGAGTTACTTTCTTTTAAAAAGAGCAATGCCTAACTATTAATTTAGCCTATTTTAGAGACTTTTAAAATTTTTTTTATTTTTTATAGTTCATATCAGGCATGCCTATTTTGTTATTTTATAAGCTACGTCCATGGTTCTAAGTGAAGTTTCTGAACTCCCATGCCTGGCTTTCCAATGGTGACATTCTGATGGTCCACTGGAAATGACACATGATTGAACATCAGTCAGAAGGTGTTGGCTCTGCAACTGCCTGTTTTGGTGGGTGACTTAAAATTTCTTGGCCTCCACTGCCTCTTTGCAGAAAGAAAGGGTTGGCTGAGATGATTTCTAATCTCCTTTTCAGTTCTAAGATTCTGTAATAATGGGATTTTATCTTGTAGTTGAGGCCAACATAACATAACCAAATGGAGGAAGGTGAGCCATTAAAAATCACTATAAATACAAGGAAGGGGCTCAAAGGTGGTGTGCTTCTTGGGGGATTTTATTTAGGGTATAGTAAATGTACTCAGGATGGTAATACTGTACTTGATTGTATTCAATTCATTCTGACAACAGCAACACGCACGCGCACACACACGCACGCACGCACACACACATGCACACATGTGTGCACACATGTCACACACTACTTTTAATCAGCAGTTTCAAATTCAAGAACCAGGAAGCAAATGTGACTGAGATGAAGTCTAGGGAACATCCGAGCACCATCTGAAGAGGGCAATGGAAACTCGGTTCCAATTCATTGTGGCGAGAAGAAAACAGTGGGCTCAGATCTTCAGTTGCCAGATCTTCAAATATTTGATAAGATAAAACATTCTGGCCTTTATGTGAATCTCCCAATTTTAAAACGTTGGTTCCAAAACCAAAGTCTCACTGTGTGGGCCTAACAAAACTTTTTGGCTGGTAAAATTTGGAGGAGGCCATCAATTTGGGATCCCTTTCATATATGAAAAAGACGACCAATTGACATAAAACATCTGCTTCTGTGAAATTAACGAGATGGTCCCATGTCGATAAAATGAATCCTTATACTGGACATGAGTTACAAAATATCAGTCAAGCTTAACTCATGTTGCTTAAGAGAATGGCACAGAGTAAATTGAGCAGATCATTTAAAAAACCTTAGTTTCATGATTCATTTTTAATTTTTCATTGAAAGCTGCTGAAAAGCAGTATTCTATTAATCTAGATTGGATGTTTTCCTCTCCTGGTTTTCAGGGCATCTTCTCTTAGAAATAGTAGAACAATGGCCAAAGGACTGTTGGAATCAAGTTAATCGAGGGAAAACACGCAGTCATAAATACTTCCTGAATGACATTCATTGGACATTTTAGCTTAAATTTGAAATATGGTATTTCTCCCAAGAAGCTGAGAAAGTTTACATTTTGTTCTCAATACATTTTTGAAAGTTAACTAAGTACTTTTAGAAGTTCATTAGCGAGAAACATGACTAATCCTATTGAACAGAGAGGAAAATGATTGAAAGGTTAATTTCTGGTCGCTCAAGCTTTTGGCCCGAACTGAATAAAACCTTTTGACACTTTTCCTAATAGACCACTTATTAAAATCAAGCCAGCTGCTGAGAAAAGAAACCCTCAAATTCCTCTGGGCCATTTATCGTTGGCTAACACTTGGACACATACCATCTTAGAAGATTCACACACACACAGGGTCCAATTCAATAACCATGCGATGACCGTGCTTTATTTGTCTAATTAGATCAAGTTCCTGGCATAGTGTCTGGCACACAGTACAGTACTCAGTGTTTGTGGAGCATAGATCATTTCCTGGTGACGTCGAGAATGTTGTGATTGTACCAGAGGAGATGTCCAGAGCGCTCTAACATCCCCAAACCATCTTGCCTTTGGATGCATTTTCATGCAGGACTCAACTCACTACATATCTGTGCTGTTGCTTTTTCCACCTTCCCATTTTTATGTTATCTTACATATACTCTGGACAGGTTTTGCACAGCTTGGGTAAGATTACGTGCCTTGCCAAGATGGAGGCTCTGCCATAAACAGAAACAAAAGAAACATCAAGTCATAAGTTAAGATGTGAGTTTTTGCAGCAATGAAGTATTATCTGTCACCGTATCTCTCTGCCACCTTCAGCCCTTGAATATGACAGTCATTGGTGAATCACAGTGGCCAGAGGCCTTCGGTGCTGCTTATTGTTCTAGCAGAAGGACCGTGAGACCTCTCTGAGGCTGCTCCACCCATGCAAAAGGCCACATGAAAAGTGGAGATTTGGGTGTCTTCTAATGGGAATGGTTACATTTAATAATTTATTTAATTGGGGGTCCCTTTAGCTAAGGCAGTATTTTGTTATTCAGAGTGAACTCCCTAATCTTTTTCTGTTAATTCTACATGTCTACATTTCTCCCTATAAAATTTTATAGACATTTTCTTAAAGTTCATAAAATTTTACAAAAATTTTCTTTTCGCTTAGATTTGCATGTTTTTGTTGTTAATAAGACAAAGGGAGTAATAAACCTTTCAGATAACTGCCAGCAGCTTTTAAATTGCTATTGTTGTTATAAAAATGTAATTCTTGGGCCGGTCGAGTGGTGCGATGGTTGAGGGCTGGCTTGGGATGCCAGAGGGCCCCGGTTCGGATCCCACATATGAGGGCCAGTGACGCTGCCCTCCGCAGCTAAGATGCTGAACAATAGCTCGACCTGGAGCTGGGCTGCTGTGGGTCGCCGGCAGCGGCGTAGGCTGCAGCCCCTGTGACAGTGGGTTGCCATGGACTACCGTGTGTGGCCAGCAGCCAGTGTGAGCGGCCAGCAGCCACCGTGAGCGGCCGTCCAGAAAGCTGGCGACTGATCTGCCTCGCCCGGGAAGAGCGCAATGATGGTGCCAACTTGGGCCAGTGAAGCGACGTCCTCCACAAGTAGACTGAAGAACAAGGCAACAGCAACTTGTCTGTTCCCCTTCCCCCAATTCCCCAATAAAAAAAATCTTTAAAAAAAAATGTAATTCTTCATAAGCAATCCTGGGCTACAGCAGAATTCTCCTTCAGTCTCTGTGCACCCTCTTCTAGGTAGTCATTCTCTTGTTTGATGCTCCCCTAAACAATACTCACTTTTCTGTGTGTCCCAGATATAGCTGTTCAGAACTTCTCCCAGCAGGTACAAAAAGTTCATTAAGATGGTTGTGGACCCAAAGAAGATGATTCTGGCCCCCGGGCCAATGTGTTCCAGGAACGGGTACACCCACATCCCGGTGATGTGATGCACCCAACACACCCTGCAATGGAATGGAAAGGGGACAAAGACAGGAGTGACTCTCACGTGAGATTTCCAAGCTGCTCATGTTACAAATATGGACCCTCTGCTCCAGCCACCCTCCAGCACTGCCAGTCACAGGTTGGTTTCTGACACTCAGGACCTACCAGAAACTTTGTTTTCTTTTACTTTTGATAATGAAATAATTTCAGACTCACAGTATAGTTGCAAATATAGTATAGAGAGCTCCAGTCTGCCTTCTGTTCCACTTCCCTGCATCTTGTATAACATTATTAACATCTTGTTAACATATTGTATAACCATTATTAAAATGAAGCGGTTAACATTGGTACGATACTACTGGCTGAACTACAGACTTCCTGTGTTGTTGCGAATGTCCCACGTTGTATTTAGTGGCCACGTCTCCTTGGTCTCCTCCAATTTGGCAGTTCCTCAATTTCTCCCTGTCTTTCTTGACACTTGAAGAGTTCTGGTCAGGTATTTGAAACTGTTGTTTTTCTAAATACTGTTATACAATCTTCTTAATCTCTTCTTTACATAACGAAACAATGTAGCATTAGGCAACCACATTATAATAAAACCTAGGTAAGTATGTGCCAGGAATCTTGCCACACTGCCTTCCATCTAGATCCCAATATGTAGTCTATATGCTGACAGAGCCATCCTGTTACCTCACTGATGCCTGGATTCCCACAACCTGATCTTTGGAACTCGTATGTTTCTTTCTTTTTCTATTTTTCATACTATGTATTCGTAATTATTCCATTTGTGTTCTGGAGCTGTTTTTAGGCTCAGTGGGGATACAACATAATTAATCTCCACTGTTTTCAAAAGTTTAGTAGAATATTTGCTCCATTGGTTTCTGACACAACTGCTAAGAGCTATTTTCCAAAACATTCTTGGGTTCAATACTTTATTAACTATTGTCAATTTTTTAAGACTGAATAAAACATAAATAACTTTATTGCACAGGAATAACAATTACTTTTTATACTTCTGTGTTTTGGGGTCATTTTACGTATCATCCATGGCTTCACTCCTCTTTAAGCAGTTTATCTCTGTATGTATTACATGTATCTACCTCAGGCAAGAAACCTGGGAGTCTTTTAGAGCTTGCAGTCTCAATGAGGGCGATAGCACTATCCCCTCAAGGAGGTGGAAATTGATTCCAGGAGGCTGGTGAAGAAATCCTGCTCTTTTTATGTATAAAACACAGACACATATATATACAGAACATAAAAAGATTCATAGTATATTTGTGGTATTAACATTTCATGGGCCCAGCAATTCCACTCCTAGATATATATCCAAAATAACTGAAAGCAGGGACACAGACAGATACTTGTACACCAATGTTCATAGCAACATGATTCAAAATAGTCAAAAGGACGAAACCACCCAAGTGTCCATCAACAGATGAGTGGATGAACAAAATGTTGTATATACATCCAATGAAATAGTATTCAGCCATAAAAAGGAATGAAATTTTGATATATGCTGCAACATGGATGGACCTTGAAAACATGATGCTAAGTGAAATACGCCAGACACAGAAGGGCAAATATTGTATACTTCCATTTAAATGAGATACTAGAATAGGTAGATTCATAGAGACAGAAAGTACAATAGAGGTTACCAGGACCTAAGCAGGAGTGGGGGAAGGGGAGTTACCGTATAATGGGTTCAGAGTTTATGCTGGGGATAATGACAATGTTTTGGGTATAGATAGCGGTGATGGTTAGGTACATCACATTGTGAAGGTATTGGATGACACTGAATTGTACATTTACAAATGGTTAAAATGATGAATATTATGTCATGTATATTTTACCACAATAAAACATTTTCATGGGGTGGAGATCAGGGAAAAAAAATACCTACAAGGGTTCCTGGGTGGGGGTCAGTAATAAAAGAAAGGTCACTAATAAAAGGTGGAGAAACGCTGCTTGAGCAGGAAGAGGTGGTCATTAGTTCCAGCCAGGTCAGCTTGAATAGCTGCCCAAACTAAAATATCTTACCGGAGGAGGAAGCCAGGCTAGTCTACATTTTTTTTTAAAGGCTGAAGTATTTGTGAGAATCAGCAGAAATTACATTGTTAGAACTACCCTATGGGATTCTGATGCATAATATTGTTTGTTTGTAAATTAGAGGCAATTTTACCTTCCTAATTTTTTTTTTTTACTTTTAAAAGGTTAATCTTAACTGGTGCAAGAAGGTGTTGTGTGCCCATCACACAGCTTATTAATTTTCATTGAGATAATATACAATATCCAAAAAATGTAATACCATAAATCTACAATTGATTTTACAAAATCAACTTATAAAATTATAATGTGACTCACTGTAAAACTGTTTCCTCAATTAGGCAAATTAGGAGCAATTCAAATTTTGAATGCTAGTTATATAGTTTTTATACCTGCTCCTGGCATTCTACTTGCTTCCGGGAGAATGAAACTTACATTTGCAGCTTTTGGTAATGTCTCTAATGCCAGGCTTCTACTCCTCAGACATTGCTTGCAATGTACTTTCGGTGTGTATGGAATCATTCTAGAATACTGAAGAGGTATACGAGCCATAACCACATCCCATCTATCTGTGGATGATTCCAAAATTTATATCTCCATCCTTGACCTCTCCCTGAACTCCAGAGTTCTATACCCAGTTGCCCACTGCCTATTTCGACTTGGAGCATCTCCAACCTAACATTTCCATGACATCACCATCATCCTGCATCCTAATTCCTGCACGTCTCTCCCCTCCCGCCATCATCCAATAGCAAACATATGTCTCCCATATCTTGCACACTTGTCAAATCAGTGATTACTACATCACTTCAGCTGTAGCTTGGGGCAGGAAATGTGGTTACTTTTGACTTTTTTTTCCCTCACATTCCACATCCGATCCATCCTTAGAACCTACTGACTCTACTTTCCAAATATACTCAACATATCTACTTCTCACCATTGCTTCCACTACCATCTGGGTTCATGCCATCCTACCTCTCACCGGAACCATTGCCATAGCGTCCTGTCTCTTTTACCTTTGCTACAGTCTGTTCTATAGCCTATTCCCATTGGAGCAGCCAGACTGACCTGGATTAAGTGCAAGGCAGGTCATGCCACTATTTTTGCTCAAAGCTCTTGCTTTTCCTTGCCCTTGGAGTAAAAGCCACAATCCCTAAATGGTTCTTCAAGGCCCTACCAAAGCTTGCTGGCCACTTTTCTGATGTTTTTCCTCCTGTTCTCCCCTCACTCACTCCACTCCAGCCACACAGAGTCCTGGTCTTCCTTGAGCACACTAAGCATTCCTGTGGGTTTCCATGCCTGGGCATCACTCCTTACTCCTGTCTGCCCCATGTACCCCCAGTGTTCCCGTGTCCTTCAGTTTTCACTCAATTAGGTCTTGCCAGGCCACTGTATTTAAAAATTGCAACCCTAATCCTGAAACTCTATTCTCCACCCCTTTATTTTTCTCCCAGCTACTTAATACACTACATTATTTTTACTTATCTGTTTATTGTCTGTCCCATGAGCACAGGCATTTTCCTCTGTTATGCTCACTGGTAGGCCTGTGGCCCTTGGGGCAATGCCTGGCACACAGAATGCCCTCAATAATTATTAGTTGAATTAATAACTGACTAAAGGAACAGCAAAACCCCCATCTGTTTATTGAGTCTTTTCTCTGTGACTGACACTTTGCCAGTAACTTTAAATCTCAAAAAAACCTTTCAAAAATCTCCGTGCCCTTTGTTGGCAAACCGTTCCTGGACAGAGCCAGAGAGGAAGTATTCTCAGTTTTGGAGGCCATGTGGTCTTTGTCACGAGTCTCAGCTCTGCCTTTGTAGCACAAAAGCAGCCACAGACAATATGTAAACAAGTGAGAGTGGTTATGTTTCAATAAAACTTTATTTGTGGACACCGAAATTTGAATTGCACAGAATTTTCACATGTGATGAAATATTCACCTTCTTTGATTTTTTTCAATCATTTAAAAGTGTAAAAACCATTCTTAGCTTATGGGCCACAGAAGAAAAAAAAACAAAGTAAGCAGCAGGCGGTGGGCTGGATCTGGCCCATTGGCTGCGCCCTTGTTCACGTAGTTCTTTGTCTTTCACAAAGCACCGCAGCCCATCATGTCATCTCGTCTACTCAGAAACCCTAGAGATGGCATGTCATTCTCATTTTGCTCAGGTGAAAATCAGGGTTTACAGATTATGTCAGAACTGACAATGGGAATGTAAAAATCTCATGCACAACTGACATCTTTTCTGCCGCACGGACTTGCTTCTCTAAATGATGCATTTAACACTGCCTCCAAGGAGGCAGTGAGGGCTTTCTTTTTTGAAAAGTTTTCTGGACTTAGTAGGTCATCCAATCATTTCAGATACAGAAGTCCTGTGAAGTGGGGTTTTACCCGGATTGGTGAATGATGCATCCACTTGTCCTAACAGGTTGTGCTTCACCATTTGTTTCCTTGATGTAATCAGGGCTCAGTTTTCTGCACAAAAATGACTCATGGCCTTGCTCATGTATTTGTGCCAGAGTTCTCAGTTTGTGGTTGACTTTCAATTTCCATTTCATTCCAAGGCCTTCGTGTCTTAATGCCCAAATAGCTTCTGCTTAAGGTAATGATACCAATTTTAATTTTAGCCTAAAAAATTGATAACCATGATGTGTGTGTGTGTGTGTGTGTGTGTGTGTCTCCACGTGCACGTGTACATGTGTGCATACATATATATGGATACTATACTATCATAAGACTTCTGGGGTGGTCTATTTTGTTAAAAGTACTTCCAATTTCATTCACTTTAATAAGCAAATAAATATGACATTTGTTAATGCCCCATCTAAATACTGCGCTACACACTAGGAATGCAGAATAAATGAGGCAAAGGTAATTCTTGTCCCCAGGCAGTACAGTCAAATGAGGAAAACAGATATTAAAAGAGAAATGACAAGTGTAGTCAGAATTAAAAAAAGGTGAAGTGTAGCACATCATAGG